GGGGGGGGGAGAGAGAGAGGCCGAATGGTAACACATGGTGCTTCATGAAAGAAGACTGAAGTGTTACTAATGAAATGAGCTCATGAAAAGCCTAGAAATTTTTTTTGACTATTACAGAGTGTCATTGAAAAACTCAAGTGCAAAGGTTTTGTTTGATGGATTTGCGTAACGAGCCACATGGACCGCATGTGCGCCTATATTTTTCTGGCAGCATGAGAAAATTCTTAAAGAAAGGACCATACTACAACTATTTCATCTTTTTCTCACATATATTAGGCGGTATAGCAAAACAACGAGCAAAACTTCGGGTATACAGTTTTGCGTTTTACAAGAATGGCCATGCTTTATTGTGACACAACATGCAATATTACTTCATTACTACATTGTAAGCATTGTCAGGTGCTTGCCTGTTTTAGCTTGAAAGTCACTGAATGACTCCTGTAAGCTCATATTAGAGTAGTCCAAGAGCGTTGAGCCACATAAATTTCATATTTGTGAGGTTGAGGGGAATCTTTCACCTATCCTTCACTCCAGTCGTAAAAATCCGATATTCTGGAAACGAAAGATTTCGAAGTTTATGCTCTGTTAGCGTAAAAAAATATGAGTCCTTGGCTGGCTATTATTTTGTGACTAATAAATGTATGAAGACGCGTATAGGATCTGGTTGACGGACTATATTATTCCAAAAAGTATGGATTGGTTTGAAGCATGCGTCCGAGTCAAAGAAAATTTTTGTTCATACAGGAGTTTCATTGCAATCTAGACCATTCCTAAAGTTCAAGGCCGTTGAAATAAGAAGGAACACTTCGAAAACTTGAGCAGCATTTGCATGAAACAACCTTACTCTTGGGAATAATATGGAGGTGCGCTTGCCCGGTTTTGCATCACTATCATATTTTTACATGCAACGAATTTGATCAAAAGGGCCACAAAACTAAGCTTGTCAGATTTGCCTCTGGTACTATGGTGTTTCTTGGCTGGAAATTTAAGGACATAAAGTTACCCTTCTTTGGATACTCAGATTTTGCGATGCTTCACAGTACGACTTTCTTTTTGCAATAGAAAGTCATTATCTTCGCAAGGCTATTTTATTAAGAAAAGTGACCTGTTACCCTTGGTCATTGAAAGCCACCTTTTACTGAGCAGCGGTTTTAGTAGCAAAGTAAACAAATGTATACACAATTTGGGAATCTCTTGAAAATGCTCGTATAAAAGCTTGAGGAATGTAGGACAATAGTTCATAAGTGGCTTCTCAAAGCCTAACATCAGGATAAATTACGTAAATATGGTTTAAATCATGCTGCCACGTACTTTAATTTGGCTCTTTGGTGATCCAACTCGAGTAGCAGACATAGGTGTGCTTAAACTGTTTATAGGGAGATTAGTATATCTAAGCTTGAACTCAGAAAAAAAAACCAGAAGCTTGAGGCTTTCCTTAAGCATTACAAATCCAGCTCACTAAGAGATGTTTACACGCTGATAAAATCTATATCAGATGCACTTCTCATCAAATTTAGATCACAGGGCTGTACCATTTGAGAATAAAGGTTTTCAAACGGAAATTCATAGCGAATATCTTCCTTTGAAAAACAGCCAACGTTAGCTCTCACAGTTGTTTTGAAAAGCAGCCACAGGTATCAAGGGATGATTCACAGAGAGACACCGTGTGGGCTTTCTGTAAAGTATGATATAGTTCTGAAGACCCATATGACAATCTTCCAAAAAAGCGCAAGTAAACATTTCTTTCATTGGCATAGCGTGAATGTTAACATCCAAAAACTAAAGATTCGCCGCTGCAAATTCGGGTACTAGTCTTTTTTGTTTTGCTAGTGATTCCCGAATCGATTTTTCATAGTGATAACCACATCGATACACCAGAAAACAATCCAATCTCAGTGGTGCTTACGGTCTACATCACAAGGAGTCTTGCTTGTGGCGGGCCCCTTGGCTCTGTACACCATCAAGATACTCAAGTGTTGGATTTGTAAACACCAGGATTTTCTAGAGCGAATGAAAGTACAGAATGAGACTGTATTGTTGATCAAGCGCTCATTGAATTTGCTCGAAATTCCTTGATATATGTATGGGAAGGGAGAGAGTGCAGAGTAACTAGAGGCCAATAATTGCTCAAACTCGGAACATAAAGTAACTCGGGAGACGTCCAGTATTCCAGATACTTCCTGAAGAAGAAGAGGTATTGAATGAAAGAAAAGACCAAGTCGCGATCGAATTAATTCTGACTGTTTGCACGCTCTTGACCGCAGCACTCGTCATGTTTTTTGCTACTGTTGTTAGGTCTCTCTAGTGTTCCAACTGCAGTCTGACTGGGATCGATCGAATAACCTTACTGTAGTTTTCCCTTTCCTATTTGGCATCACTGCTTTAAATCCTGTCAAAGAAGCCAAGTAATTCTGTATCCCATGCGCATTGAGTCCTTAATTGTCTCATGTTGATGCAAGATTGTTTCTTTTTGAATGTACTATCGGTGAAAAAGGGAGGTTCGCAAAGGTAAGACGACACGCGGGAATCTTAGTTGGCACAAATATTGAATAGACTACTAAGAATAAAGAACATCACAGAGAAGCTAAACCATGTGATTCCAACTCCTTGAAAGATAACTTTATTTTCAAAAATTGTCTTCCAGCGACATTTGCTTCTAGAGCTTCCGAAAAAAGGCGCAAATTGGAGAGACAAACAATGTAAAACCGTGACACCACACAGGACACGGTGCGCAGAAGGGCTTAAATTGCTTTTTCAGTCGCATGCGGAGGATATTATCCTGGTTTTGGGGAAAATTCCTTTTTTTGCTCCACGCATGTCGGTCATGGATTGGTGATTACAGTATTTTTCTTCTACGCCCCTATATGTTCGAGCCGCTGAAATTGTGCCCACGCATGGTCCTTCCTGTCAAACCTCACATGATTCAAAGTCACACGAAAGAGATTCGCCGATTGACTTGAGAGAGGGGAAAAATATAAAATAAGTAAGACGGCAAAAAAGACACGTGTAGCAGCGGAAGTACGTTTCCCTGCGGAGAAAAAATGTAGTCTTGACGATGGCACCAGTATCGTGTAATCAGATTGTATCATTGCTGCAGCATTTAGAGTTGTAGTACAGAAATCAGTGGAACCGACGCATATCAAGACCCGTGTCTTGATTTGGCCTGGAGACCTGCGCAGACCTGCCGGCCTGAACCCTGTGCTTTTTCATGTTTCTGAGTAACTCATATCGACGGCTATGTATGAAAGAACGCCGCATGCAGTTTTGGGTCCCTCCGGTATAAACATTGATGAAAATCAGAAACTCAGCACCAACGAGTCGCCCCTAGTAAGAGACACAGTGTGCCTCCCAAAAACCAGCAGTATTACAATGATTGGATGTCATTTCCAGCTCGATCTTGTAAATATCGAAGTTAGTGACATAGAATTTCTCACAAAAAGTTACCATTTGCCCGATATCTTTTCTAGCCTCTTCAGCCTATTTCTCGCTAGTTTCGTCGTTCCAGTTGAGCTCACGTTTCAAGATCTCAGCGAAACCATTAACAACGTGCAAGGCTTGTCGGGATTTCGGAAATGCTAATCTAGATCTTGTGGCCAAAAGTCAAGAGAAGTTTTGATGTACTCGTATCTCAAGGAAAACTTTAAAAAGTAGACTTATTTGAGTGCGTCTCACGATCATGTTTTGTTTAAGAGTCTTCCAAAAAAACAAAGTTGCAAGTGAGTATTTCATTCAGTAAAGCTGTTAATGATTTGGGATCATCCAGACGATCACTGCATGAGTTTTATGTTCGGGTGAGATATGATTTTGGATTGTTTGGGAAGAAGGTGCAAGAAGACATTCTTCTAGGAAAGATTTGTTTTTGGGGCTAATTCCTTTTTTAGGGATTGAGGTTTCTGGAGGTTTGTGCCAATTTATATTGTTTGAGTCGCATCTGTGCTGAAACATGCCAGGTGGGCTCAAATAGCATAGTTGGAGCAGTGAGAAGATTTCTGGAGCGCATTTTTCTGGGAGAGGGTAAGTGAGTTTTGGATGAGACTGGAGTCAGCTGGATATTCTAAAATACAGAGTTTCAAGCAGAAACAAATGATCCCAATCGAAATTCAACATGGACCCACCAGAAAATGGTAGAGCCAAGAACTTGACAAGTTGTCTCAGGGAAGTCGGCTAGTCTGTTGAAGTTTTAACCGATTCCTCTGCTAAAACCTTTATCGATGATGAATGAAATTAAAGGAGCCAGACCAAATAAGACCTCTGGCCTTTACATCAAGAAAGTTTGTGCTGTCAAACACGACGATTTTGACTTTTCTCGTGAGCAAGCACCTGAAGCATATGGAATATCAAACAAGCACCACGCAAAGATTTGCTCACATTCCATGGAGTCAAGTCTTTGTGTTAAGAGAATCCAAAGCAACCCGCACCAGAGGGTCGACAAACGAGGGAAACCTTTACTATGAGTATTCCCTAGAATAGCCAAGTTTTAGACAGCATGAGTGGTTAAAGCAGCCAGCCTCAGAAGACTTGGAATACAACAGGAAAGCTGTATCCGGTACTGAATTCTGGATGCTGTGTTCCACGGTGATTCGTCTGGCTCAATACATTCATGCATGTTTTCGTTGAAGTGACAGCGGCCGAGGAAGTGACCGTGTGTTTCAGTGGTTCTGCTGCGGCGCCACTGTGGCGGTCTTTTATGAACTGGAGGCACGAATGTGGGAGATGTTATAGGCGGAGACAAAAGTGAGAGACGTTAGAAGCGGAGACGAAACAGTACGGACAATAGGGTGCGAGAAAGTTTCGGATCAAATTGGAGTCAGTTGGGTATTCATTTCGGTAGAGTTTCACGCGGTACAAAATTCCATGGATCAAGATTCATCATCAATCCCATTACGTAGAGATAAGATGGGGCGTTCCTTTCATTTTTTACCATCTGTTTGTTGACCTTGCCTTACTAAATCTGCCTGTATAACCTTTCTCTTGTTCCCGTTGTCTCAATCTCTCTCATTCTCCTTGTTTCAATCTCTCTTATTCTATTTTATGTGTTGACCGGAGGCTTTGCCGCCCGGCTCTTTGGTACGAAGCGCTTGGATCCCGAGTTATTATCACCGAGACAAGCTTTTCTTGCCTTCATTCAAAAACAATGTTTTTTAACTGGGTGAGTTATAGCGGAGGAGATCCTGAGTCGCTGCCTCCACCGATCGGATAATGGCACAAAGGCGGGCCATACAAACAGAAGTCTGTCTGAGACCAAAAAAAGAAGAAAAGTACAACTCGCTGAACGGCGGAACGACGAACCCCGCTATTTGCCCATGAAACCATAGACTGGCCCATACAACGGACAGAACACACCACAAGAAATAGGAAAAGAGAACACAAAAACAGAGCACAAAAAGAGGGTACAAAACATAGCACAAAAAGAGGACACAAAAAAGAACACAAAAAGAGGGCACAAAAAAGAACACAAAAAAGAACACAAAAAAGCACACAAAGGAGAGAACACACCACGAAAAACAAAAACAGAAGACAGAAAACAGAAGACAAAAAACAGAAGAAAAACAGGGGGCAAAAAATAGAAGACAAAAAACAGAATACAGCACAACACAACAGCACAACACAACAGCACAACACAACAGCACAACACAACAGCACAACACAACAGCACAACACAACAGCACAACACAACAACACAACACAACATCACGAAATCACAACACACCAAAAAGTGTACCCGCCAGGAGGCGCGTCACGTGACACGCCTGTCACGTGCATACCACGTGACGCACCAACGCGCCGGAGCAATTTTTTCCTCGTGCTCCGCCACCACTACGGCCCCTTAGACACGCAGAAATCCCCCCCAATGTCGTCGTCCATCCAGCTTTTGAACCCCAAGGCCGAGTCCTTGAGACGCGCGCAGGCGCTCCAGGTCAACATTGCCGCGGCGCAGGGCTTGCAGCAAGTTTTGGCGTCCAACTTGGGCCCCAAAGGCACATTGAAGCTTCTAGTGGACGGATCCGGCAACTTGAAACTCACCAAGGACGGCAAGGTGTTGCTCACGGAGATGCAGATCCAGCACCCCACGGCGGTGATGATTGCCCGTGCGGCCACTGCGCAGGACGAGATCACCGGCGACGGCACCACCACCGTGGTGTTATTGGTGGGCGAGTTGTTGAAGCAGGCCGAAAGATTCATCAGCGAGGGCGTGCACCCGCGTGTGTTGGTGGACGGCTTCGAGCTTGCGCGCGAGGCGGCGTTGCGGCATTTGGACGAGTTCAAGACGCGGCCGCTCAGCTACGACCGCGAGTTTTTGCTCCAGGTGGCGCGTACTTCCGTGGCCACCAAGGTCACGGCGGAGTTGACGGACGTGTTGGCGCCCATCGTCACGGACGGCGTGTTGTCTGTGCAGGGCGAGGACAGCAAGAGCTTGGACTTGCACATGGTGGAGATCATGACCATGCAGCACGGCAAGGCGCAGGACACCAGCTTGATCAAGGGCTTGGTTTTGGACCACGGCGCACGGCACCCGGACATGCCGCGCCGCGTTCACAACGCGTTTGTGTTGACGTTGAACGTGTCGCTCGAGTACGAGAAGACCGAGGTCAACTCCGGGTTCTTCTACTCGTCCGCGGACCAGCGCGAGAAGTTGGTGGCCTCGGAGAGGAGGTTTGTGGACGAGAAGTTGCGCAAGATCGTGGACTTGAAGAACGAGGTGTGCGGCTTGAACGGCGACGCCGGTTTTGTCATCATCAACCAGAAGGGCATCGACCCCATGTCCTTGGACGTGTTGGCCAAGCACAACATCTTGGCGTTGCGCAGGGCCAAGAGACGGAACTTGGAGAGGTTGCAGTTGATTGTTGGCGGCGAGGCCCAGAACTCCGTGGACGACTTGTCCCCCGCGATCTTGGGCCGTGCTGGCTACGTCTACGAGGAGAGTATCGGGGAGGACAAGTTCACGTACGTCACGGAGTGTGCGGAGGCGAAGGCCTCCACCATCCTCATCAAGGGCCTGACCAACCACGTATTGCAGCAGACCAAGGACGCCGTGAGAGACGGCTTGCGCGCGGTGGCCAACGTGATCAAGGACGAGTCCATCGTGCCTGGCGCGGGCGCTTTCTACATGAGCTGCAACAACCACCTATTATCCTCCAAGAGCCTCAAGGGCCGCAGCAAGCCGGGCGTCAAGGCGTTTGCCGAGGCGCTCCTCGTGGTGCCCAAGACGTTGAGCACGAACGCGGGCCTCGACTCCTTGGAGACGCTCTCTGCGTGCCAGGACGAGATCATCGACGACCACGTGGTGGGCATCGACCTTGCTTCAGGCGAGCCCATGGATCCTGCCCTCGAGGGCGTGTGGGACTCCTACAGGGTCGTGAGAAATGCCATCCTGGCCGCCACGGGCATCGCTTCCAACTTGTTGCTTTGCGACGAGCTTTTGAAGGCCGGCAAATCGTCTTTGAAGGGCCAGGGCCAAGGCGCGCCGCAGGGCGCGCCGCAGGGCATGCCGCAGGGCATGCCGGGCATGATGTAAGGGAAGCTTGACGACTCCGATTCCCTTTGCGGCTCGATCCACCGGCGCCGACTGGAAGGGTCTGGTGGCGGTGCCAAGTCACAAGCACGCGTCTGGTGGTGCTCGACATGAACGGCGGGCATGAAACACACCGGTCAAGGGGTCAGATACATGCAACCGGCTGAACGGCTGGCCAAGATCGCCCTGTGGGCTTGCACGTCTGAACCGTGGGAGCTACATAGCACTGTATACTAGTTTGGATCTGACTTCATTACGCTCAACAACAAGCAGCTGCACTCACTGCACCACACGGGAGAATATGCCTTTTATAAAACGACCCCGTCACGTGCTGGTGCCACGACAGATGAGCGGCCCACCGTAGCACGCTGCACGCCTACGAAGTCCGAGTAGATAATTATGTTTTCTTGGCCTAAAATGTCCTCTTTTGACCGACAGGAAGGCAACAGGGCTTTGACAGTGAAAAGCCGACCATGCAGGGCACAGGAAAACGGTTGACGAAAAAAGCAATTCTCGGTGCCGCCTTCACGGCCTTGACAATGAACCCATGGCCTGTTTCGGTGCATTTCTCCTTTTCGCTATAAATACATTGCACCCAGCGAGACATCCAGGAGTGCCGCGTCCCGTGAGCCACAACAAATACTACAGATGGGCACATGTCCTGCACGCGGCATGCCAGGACTTTCGCCAGCTTATTCGAGCTTTGCTCCCAGCTCACTTGACGTATGCGATGGCCATGTGACTAAGCCTGAGGCAGGGCATGGTATATTCTGAGATTCGAGGGGTTGTGTGGAGACGCAAATGTCGGCTCGTGCGGAAGTAGCAAACGGCGCTTTGCATTCTTCCCCACTGAGCGTTCGCGTCGGTATGCTCAGTCCAGAATAGGCGCGAAACGCCTGATTTTTGGTGCGAGGGCATGACCGTCTTTGGGTTTGAGTTCCTGTGGCACATGCAGATACGGCTCGTTCTTGACGTCTTCCGCGAAAATTGAGACTCTCCTATTTGACAAAAGCTTGAGTTTCCACTGGTGCCCAAACAGGCGGGCGAGAAAAGAAAGGGCACGTTCATGTATACCCATCGCCATGTCTGTTGGTGGTTGCGGAGGGTGCTTTGCGCCAAAACAATGCGGAATAACTTTGGGCTTAAGCAACACCGCGGAAAAACTCTGTGCAAAAAAGTACGCGAATGAAGAAAGGTCGGACGGGGAAAGCTGGTGTGCAGGTACACCACTTCATGACGCACTTGAGAAAAAAAATCAATAGAGACTCGCTGCGCGACATGCATGGCTTTGAATTGTCGTGCGCTTTTCTCAAAGTTGGGCGCCTTTATGTACGGTTAGGAAATCCGCAGTAATATGCATGCTTAATTGCAGTAGGCTTTTTTTTTTTCTAAAAATCGTTCGAGCTTTACAAGAGGGGTTAGCGTGGCACTTCCCTTGTTTTTTATATATTGCACCACACCCTCTCTTTTCTCGCCTCGACACTCCCACGTTTCTTCATCTGCGGCCTCCTTACAACTTGTGGCCTCCCTTTCTTTTTTTTGTCCTCCACGTGCGTCTGCAGGCCCGCCCGAACCCAACTGTTGTCCACAGCCCGAATCATAACAACAGACAAATAAACATTCGAGTGCCTGGCAGATCGATGCATCCACGTCACAACACCCAATAAACAGGTATGTTCACCCCGTTTCTTCTCCAGCACATGCCCACTGTGCCTGTCGGCTATGTCGTTAGGTTAGACCTCTCCAATTCGTCTGCCGCTAGGCACGGATCCAGCCACGATTCACCTCGCGTGATCCCCGATGCTTCCAAGCATTGGCCAAGACTTTCGACGCACCTGCCTTTGTGTGTTTAGGCATGTGTCACCTGGCGTGAGAAAATACACCATGCCCGCTTATTGTGCGTGCTGTTATTCCCCGGTGAAGAGGTCTAAAATGACACCGCATCAGTCACGAGATCAGGAAGGTCTTGCGCATTTTTTACAGATTCGCCTGGTTTTCGACGCTACAGGAATGACACATGGCCGATAGCAGGGCCGCCAGCATGTAGAGCTTGAGGGCTTGGATATTCACTCCTTTCTAGGCCAAAACCCCGCCCAGTATCACGGCCAGGAATCACGCTCAGATGTCACAAGCTCATCCCAAACCAAAACCGTTTACTAACTTTCAGACACCGAACAAACATGAGCAAGTGGAAGAATCCGGCGTGGGCCTACTCCCAGCCTCCCCCTGGAAATCCCAACACGTGGCACAACCCAGCCAAACATCCCGAAACGTATGCGTATGTACAGCCTCCGCAGACACGACCTTTTGTGCCCGGACAGCCGCCCTCCGGCGAGCAGGACAACGGCGGCATGAGTGCAGCCAGCCCCCCTAAGTCTGCGTATGTGGGGCCTGCAGCAACGCTGCCGCACACTGGACACGATGTGCCCTCGGATGAAACCGTGCCTCGCCCAATGATGCAGCTGCAGCTGCAGCCATACCCGCCGCCCATGAGAACCGCGTACATGACCGCGGCGCCCATGGGAGGGCCCCCGTTGGCCCCTGGACAATACGCCCCGATGCCGATGTACCCGTATCACGTGGTGCCTACAGACCAACATAACTACGGAAGCTATCACGTGCCTGGCGACCAGTGGGACGCGCACGGTTCCAAGCATCCTCCCGCAGGCAGCATGCCCGAGCCGCAACTGCAGGGAGACTACGAGAGACGGATGCTGAAGGCGTCTTCAGCGAGCAGCCCTGCGACAGACCCCGCATCGATGCGGGACTCGGCTTCATCCGCGGTGGACTCACTGCAGGGCCTGGCGGGAAACAAGCCTACTAAACGGTCGCGGATGGGCTGCCTCACGTGCCGCCAGAGAAAAAAGCGCTGCTGCGAGACCCGCCCGCAGTGCACAGAGTGCCAGAGACTACGATTAAATTGCGTGTGGCCCAAGCCGGGCACAGAACACAAGAACAAGCCTAAGGAAGTGAAGAGCCAGGAGAACATGATAGATCATGATGTCTACGGCAAGATCAAGGTGCTACGAGGCATTGTTGAGTATCGCAGCGACTAATGCAGCGCCTGCTTGCGAGAGACCGGGCGCGGGTGGCACCAAGCATTCTGAGGCACCAGACGCGCCGTGTACAGGTGCGAAATTATCACTTCATGCGCAGCGCGGTGCGCATGGCGAGCCTGGCCCACACACTGCATTGTTGGTGGCATGGCTGACCTCGCACGTGCAGAACGCACCCCAGCGTTGGGCATGCATGGGGCAAACAATAAACTTTCCCGTGACCGACTGTGTGGGGCGGGTTGCTTTTTGAAGGCTTTCTCTTGGCCGCATCCTTGGCGCCGAGACGGTTCCTGGCGGGAACGTTCTGGATCACGTCTTGCTTCCTTTTTCCTGCCTGTTTACGGTCCGCTCGAGAAGCGCTGCGATTTTCTGGGAGATCCCAGAGGAGCGCATTGCTTGCCTCCAGCAAGTCTCGCGTGCAGAGCCGCATTCGCCGCGCTTCCCGATGCAGCTCGGTAACCTCGGGATAAACCGAATGAGGTCACGGCGGTCTCTTTTTTTATTGATACATTCACTTCTTTGATGCCAATCAGCTGTTTTATAGTCACAATATGTATACATATAATTGTACTTTCTCACGTTCCAGCCCACTTACCTGCTAGTCTCATTGGGTATCTAGTCACGAAGGGCAGGAAGACATTCCGTTTGTCGGCGGCCCGCCCGACGAAACGCAATGCTTGATTACCCGCGCTTTTCAAGCCTCTGAAAACGTTTTGATGTAGGTCGCATACGTCATATCGTTTGCTTTTACGAAGGTCTGAGAGGGGCCGATAAGCTCGTGACTATGAGTACCCCTCAAAGTGGTGTTCGGTTCTGCCACGTGCAAGCCAATGCTTGGCATCTCTGATATTCATTTATTTTCCTGACTGCTCAATTTTTTTTTTTTTTTGAAGAAAACAAATGGTCTGAGCCGTGGAGTGTATGAACCCTCCCTTGCCGAAACAATACCGACACCCCGGTTTGGCTATCCGCATTTGGAGATAAGGGTAGCTATATAAGACATGGCCGGTATACAATAATGTCGTCCGAAGCACCACCTCTTAAAATTAACTTTTTTCTTCACTTACATTTGGGCTGGGCGCTGCAAACTTTCTCAGTCAACCTTCACACCAAGATTTTTTGATGAGAGATGTGCTGAAACTTAATCGCAGGTGCCTTATCGCGGATTCCTCGCGGGAGATTTTGCATTGTAGACAGTTCATAGAAACGCATACTATCACCGTTTGTGGAAATAGTGGCGGACGTATTTTCCTCGGTGATCTCAAGCGTAATATTCAAGCCCCAGGCTTCATGAGTGCCTTTCAGAATAGTGGCGGGATTCAAGAAACGCCTCACGTGCCACATGCCAAGAAATTTGGCACTTGACATCACATTACTAAATAGTATGGGGAAGGGTGTCTGGGCTCTTTCCTTTCTGGCCAAGGCCAGGGAAATGTCTCCTGCAAAAGCAAGCATGCGTGCAAACAAAAACAAGAGTTTGGCTGCAGAATTTCTCGCCCTGCTTTCCTGCAAGTGCAAGCAATCACAAGAAAGCTTGCCAGGAATATACTTTCGTTTTGAAAGACTTCCTTGGTGATCAACTACACTTCTGCCCTGGGAGCGGTTGTTCGAGAAGCTGGGGGTTGAAACTAAAACTATTCACAGAACCTGAGGAGACCGAAACGGCAGAAAAATGAAAAAAAAAAAAGAAAAGACAGAACGATAGAGAAGGATGCGAGCATTTGGGTCTGGCATATCCTTGAAGTTCCCGCCGGCCTGTCCACAAAATCTTGGGAACATACAAGACAACCCGTGGATTTAAACAAACCATCCAAAGAACTTCACTAGTGGCAGCCGTGTAGAAGCACATCAGCTCTGGCTTGTTTTGACCCCTCCATCCCCTGTTTAGAAATCTATGTTTTTTTGCTGTTTTGTTCCTGGTCTCCTTTTCCGGTTTTGTACCCGTGTTGTGTTCTGCGCTGCCCGCATTTCCTCTTCAAAAGCATTTTCCTTTCTGGTTTCTGTTACCGAAATGGACTGCCGAATCAGAAGAGTTAAAAGTGAACCCATTGACGCCTTCGTCATTCCGCAGTTTTTACCAGCGCCAAAAGCCACGAATGCCTCCGTGGCAGGAATCGCCGAGCTCAAGGCGACCTGATGTACGGTGACGCTGCAGGCGCGCGCACGGAGCAAGGCTAATAATAAAGGGGGTGCCAAACACCTGTCGCGACATTCGGGGATCTAGATGTTCAGTCGCCGAAAAGTGCACGAACAGCGGGGCGCCGGCAGAGGGACACCCGTACACCTCATATGTCTCCAGCACATACTCCAGCCGCGAGAAACACCCGTACCCCCGCTCGCTCCACCTTTACGCGAACGTGATACATGGCTTCACTGCGGGCAGTAACCACGATCGTCTCTCATGGCCTCCGAACCCCTGTTTTTGCGCCAGCGGCAAATCAGTATGTCAGTTTACAGCTGCGCGACTCCCAGAAACGATCAGCACATTTCTGCATAGGACATTGCTTCCTCACTGAGTGGCCCGCGAGCCTCCCGTGCCTCGAATTCTCATTTCCTCCCTGATTTACTAACATCCCCCAGATGCGTTGGAGCGCATGCTTCACCTTAACAAAGACGGCGCGGCGGACTTGACTTTGGCGTCCAAGGCCGAGGAAATCGTGTGGAAAGTGCTCGTGATGGACCGCAAATCGCAGGCCGTGATTTCGTCGGTTTTGCGTGTCAACGACCTTTTAAGGTGTGGCGTGACTGTGCACACGCTCCTTTCTGCCACACGGGCGCCATTGCCCGATGTGCCGGCCATATATTTCGTGGAGCCCACGCCACAGAACGTGTCGGTGATCATCCAGGACTTGCAGGAGGAAAAGTACGAGTCGTTCTACGTCAACTTCACGCTGGCCATCCGCCGCGAGCTCTTAGAGGACTTTGCTAAGAAAGTGTCCTTGTGTGGCATGGGGCACAAGATAAAGCAGGTGTACGACCAGTACTTGGACTTCATCGTCACGGAGCCCAACTTGTTCTCGCTCGACTTGCCGCGGATCTTCACGCAATTCAATAGCCCGACCACATCGGAAGATGGTATCAACGCTCTAGCAACCGTGATAGCCGATGGCTTGTTGGCTGCGCTAGTCACCATTGACGCCGTTCCCATCATCCGGTGCCCGAAAAACGGGCCTGCAGAACTTGTGGCTACGCAATTAGACATGAAGTTGAGGGACCACGTGGCGAATTCGCGGGCGGCGGCCTCTCAACTGATCCAGCAGCGGCCCGTGTTGATTCTTTTGGACCGGAACATCGACATTGCGTCGATGTTCTCGCACTCGTGGATCTACCAATGCATGGTCAGTGACGTGTTCGAGTTGCGCCGTAACACCATTCGCGTGTCTAAATACCAGGACAGCCTGGCCCAACCGCAGATTAAAAGCTATGACGTGGACCCACGCGACTTCTTCTGGAACAAAAACTCTCAGTTGCCGTTCCCCGACGTCGTCGAGAACGCGGACATTGAGCTCAACACATACAAGAAGGACGCTCAGGAGCTCACGGCGCGGACCGGCATCTCGTCCTTGAATGACATTGATCCCAACGCCAACACGGACACCTCCCTTATCCTGCAAGCGGTGGAGGCGTTGCCCGAGTTGACGGCTCGCAAGGCCACGTTGGACATGCACATGGACGTGCTCGCGTCGCTATTGAAAGAGCTCGAGGCTCGTTCCTTGGACAAGTTTTTCGAGGTGGAGCAGAACTACAGCAACCCGAAGGTTCAGAGCGAGTTTCTCGAGCTCTTGCAGTCCGACTCTGCGCGCGACAACTCCTCCGATAAGCTCAGAACGTTTTTGATCTTGACGTTGCTCACGGAGTTGCCGCAGAGCTTTGTGGCAGACTGTGAGAAGATTTTCGCATCCAAGTACCCGGAGATCGACATGAGTGCCTTCAAGTACATTGTAAAGTTCAAGCAGATCCTCAATTTGTCGAGAAACATCACACTTAATGAGCAGTCCAACAGCAACGGCCACTCGCTTGCAGAGAACAATTCGGCCTTATTTACGGGACTTTCGTCTAAGCTCTACGGGCTCACCGAAGGCCGGATCTCTGAGGGCATCAGTTCCTTAGCCTCAGGCTTGAAGAAGTTGTTACCGGAGAAAAAGGCGCTTCCAATCACTAACATCGTGGAGGCCATCGTGGAGCCCGGCAATGCATCGTCCAACTCTGTGCAGATAACGGACGACTACTTGTACCTAGACCCAAAGTCCCGAGGCGGCCACTCGAAGCCGCCAAAGAGACAATCATACGAGAGCGCCGTTGTGTTTGTCGTGGGCGGTGGAAACTACTTGGAGTACCACAATTTGACCGAATGGTCTGCGCAACCAAACAAAGCCGCCAAGAACATTGTTTACGGAAGCACGGACCTCGTGACCGCCAAGGAGTTCTTGGCCGAGGTTTCGGACTTGGGCAAGATAGAAACGTAATAGTGTAATAGGCTTTAATTGGAAAAAACTGGAAACACAGGAGGGAGTAAGCGGAGGGAGGAAAGGAGGGAGGAAGAGGAGGGAGGAAGAGGAGGGAGGAAAGGAGGGAGGAAGAGAAGGGACGAAAGGAGAGGAAGTCGGAAAAAAACTACAAACAACGAGGGTGGAATACGACGCCCCACGCGGGCCTATTCTTCGTTCGTTCAATTTTTATTTACTGGTTTCCCTTGGTTGAGTGTGGCGAGGCCCTTGTCCGCGCCGATCAAAGGTAGCCCTTGGTACTCTCCAAGACCTTCATCGAGCGGGAGGAGTCCAAAAACAAGACCTCGCACTCCTCGATGTCCGTGATGTTAATCTCGCTGCGGTTGGCCGTTTTGCTCAAGATCCCGGCCGGCGCCAACAACTGCAACGCGTACCGCAAGGAGCTGTTGACGCCGTGGTGCGACAAGCGGCCCAAGGCCTCAGGCGTCACAAACAAGCCCTCCAACGTGGCCCTCTTGGAAATGATCGTCCTGATCTCGTCCTGATTGTAGGGCAAGGTCTTGACGATCAAAAGCCGGTCAATCAAGTCCGGCGGGCAGCCGTGCGGGTACTTGGTGGCGTCGTCCGTGCCCCGGATGGTGGTCATGCCCCTGTTGCAGGCCAAGACCACGATCGGCGCCATAGAGCTTTCCAACGCGCGGTTCAAGTAGGTGAAGATCTCGATGTCCAACATGTTGACCTCGTCGATGAACAACACGCCCGGAATCAACTCGGCCACGCCCTGGTCGATGTACTTGGACACGACCTTGTTGACTTCCGTGCGCAACTTGTCGGTGATCTCGGTCTTCTTGGGCTTCAACAACTGGCCCATCATGGAAAGCACGTCCTGGCCGCCCTGCGGGCGGGCGTTGGCCACGTCCAAGTCGTGCAACGTGACCTCCTGCACGATCTCCTTCTTTTTGTGCACCTCGCCCTTGGGCAAAGGCACGTATTCCTCGGCCTCCAAGTCGAATTCCGTGGCGTACGCGTCCGAGCGGCCCACGCGCTTGACTGCGCCCGTGTTGGCCTCCACATAGATGACGTCGCCCACCACCACGCGCTCCTTCTGGATGCTCTCGTATATGCTGGGGTCCAAGCGCAAGGACTTGGTGCCCTTGGCGGTCTTCAAGCCTACAATGACATGTGAAATGGTCTTGCCGTAGCCGCCCAACGGGTTCTCGGCCTCCTCCGGCGTCAACTCGATGACCTCGCCTTCGTACACCTCCTTGGTCTCCTTGATGCGCAAGCCGATGGCCTTGCGGAAGTTCTCCATCAACGCGGCGGTTTTCTTGACCTCGGCACTATACAACTCGCTGCCGACAATGGGGCAAAACGGCACCTTGGGCCCCAACTCCTGCGAGATGGCCAAGGCCAACGCCGTCTTGCCCGTGCCTGGCGCGCCCGCTAGCAAAATGGCCTTGCCGCTCATTTTCTTGGTTTTGATCAAGTCCACAATGATGCCGCAAGCCTCACGTGCCTCGCCCTGGCCCACGAAGCCGCCGTCGATTTTCTTGGCGAGCCCGTGCTCGTCTAGGCCGAGGCCCTTGATGTGCGTGTGTGCTGCCGTACGGGACTCCTTGCCCTGCGTGTCCTTGACTTCGTTGATTTGCACCATTATGGGAAGATTCGAGAGAAACAAGGTGCTTTCTGTCATGTTAGATGGAGCGAGGCCGCGATGAAGCGCGCCTGTGTGCAGGCGGCCCTGGCGAGT